GTATCCCGTGTGGCTGTGTGCACAAGTCGCCAAACTGGCGATTCCCAATCAGCCACAGCAGCGGCCAAAGGCGGACAGAATCGGCATCGGCATCGACATCGACATCGTCAGTTTTATTTACACACAAAACACAGCCCAGAGAATGACAATCGATCGTTGGAATGACTAAACGAATGGCAAATACTCTGAGGGTGTCTGTATGATGTGGAAAACAATGAATATTGGATACCACTTTGGGGAGACGTTGGACTAAAATATGCATACCTTCTGCTAGATACAGATTCAAGAGATATACCCTTTAAGAACGTTCTAGATTCATTGGTAAATACAAAAGATACTCTGATACAAGTGCAGAAGGGGAAGTATCAGGATAAAGACAGCAGTGTGTCATAAACATATACAATAAAGCCTAGACACATTCGATATGCCACAGAATATGCAAAACATTCTGCTGCAAATGATATCCGTATATGTGTATTTATGGATATATATTAGCCCGGTTTTGACGGCTATGGCTATGGGCTCGAAGCATTCGTCATTGCCACAGCTTCTTTGTGGTTGTAGTTGAACTGTTCAAATATACGAAAATAACACCGAAACCAAACACGGGACTGTTGTTGTTTCAGTTCTTGTTGTAGTTTGCTTGCCCCCTGCCGCACTATACCTTTTGTTGACTGCCCGGCACACACAACACACTTCGCCCTGCCCCAGAGCCAGCGTTGCGTGTCAACAAATGAGCAATCAACGATATTATAATAGCCAAGTTAAGTTAAGCGGCCTGAAGCACTCGACACCCAGCACGCTCGGGGGCCCGGACCCTCTGCGGTCAATATTCGACATTCGGCACTCGGTATTCCTAGTGCCTGAAGCGTGTAGGTCGTCGGTTGACTAACGTCTAGGCGTCTAACGTTTATTTATTCAACGCTGACGCATGCAGCAGCTAAATTGTGCTGCCCCCACCACTGCCACCGCCACCACCACCAGGCTGTCTGACTAAGAAATTCTAGAAAGCAGCGATAACCCGCGCGTACTATTTAAATGAAAGGCCAACTAACTGATAACTGGGATTGCACTCTCCGGCGAGGGAAGCGCTACCAGAAATTTCTGCTTAATATTAGACCAGATTTCTAATAGAAGCAATTGGAAGATGGAATCCATGGCGGATTGTGGCACACCTCATCGATCAGCAAGCACCACTACCATCGGAGTCTCCAAGCCACATTGATAGCCGCTTAACGCTTCAACGAAGTACCTGCCATTTAACCACAAATGGTTGGGTGCCCCAGCCATACGCCCATCTCTAAGCAGTTCAATAATTAAGTGGACCCCAAGCGATGTTACCTACTATGTATTGTAGTACATAATTAGGTGAAACGGACATTCGATCAGAGCTATGCTTACTATCGCATTAGATGCAGAAAGAGCAAACCATTCCTAAGGCTATTCTATAAAGGCAAGGCAGGGATTTGGAGTTTTGAAGATGTTTTAGGCGTTGTTCAGTTAACCCAAAACAATCCGTTTCAGGAATACTTTCAGACTATGATGCTCTCCTCTGCCACTATGTCCGTCGCATGTGTTATTCTATTTTTTTTGTTGGCTGCGCATTCAATTAGCTTTGATTGTCGCTTTGCCTTTGTCTCCCGCCCGTTGACGACGATGCGCTCCTCAATTAAAGAAGTTCGCCCGATTGATTACACGCTTCATATCGATGACGAAGACGGAGATGGAGATGGGAGACGACGCCACCTAGCCCCCAGGCACCACTCTTCCTCCAGTCTGACCGTCTCTCTGTCTGTCTGTCCTATTCTGCTTGCTAAAGCAGTTCAAGTGAATGGTCAAACCTGTTTCGGGGCTGCCACAGCAGCAGCGTGGCATCGTGGGCAGTTGGGGGCATGTGCACGAGCGGTAATAATAACAAAGTTGGAGCCGCCGAATGCAACAAAAACAAGCGGGGTAGGCTAGCTCCGAGAGTCGAAGTTTTTGATACCCTCACAAATCGATCGTTACTTGGACAGATGTATTATTAAGTGAAAAGATTAAAACACATCTTTAATGCTGAGGGAATTATTTGCCTAATGAATTCTCTACACGAATGATTATTTTTTTGGCAAACACCTGGTCAAAATCATAGTGACCTCTGCAAGGGCAAGGGTATAAACGACGACGTCGCCAACATTGCTGAACGGGCCAGACATGATCACGTCGCCGTCGCTTTGTCGATTGTTGTTGGCTCTCTCCCTCTCTATCTCTCTCTCCCTCTCTGATTGTTTGTGTTGTCTGCGCTGGAGTTGGAGCCGCTGTCGATGTCGGTGTTGCCGTTGCAGTGCAGTCGTCGTCTCTTCGCTGCTGCCATTGTCGCCACTTTGGCGGCACTGGCGATCGTAGCTTCTGGTTGCAATGTTTCCCCGACGCGCCGTCTCCCCTTCAATCCACCAAAAGCGACGACGACTGTTTTATGTAGCGCTTAATGGTTTCATTTGGCTCCCCTCTCTCAACCGGTGCATGTCTGTGTGTGTGTGTGTTTGTATTGATTACCCAATGCGTGAATGAGTAAGAACTCTTTGGGGGCGACGTACGCTGCTGCTGCTGCTGCAGTCGCTGCTGCTTGCAGTTTGGGGCCAGCCACTTGTGCCTATTTATGTTTGCGAGAGCGAGAGCGAGACCAAGAGAGGGCGAACCGAGAGAGAGACACAGTTAATTGTTGCTGTGCAGCCGCCCAATTGCCGATCATTGGACGATAGGACACGGAACGCAAGAGGGGCACGGGTATGGGCATGAGCCCCAGCATGTGCATGTGTGTGAGTTTTATTTTTAAATCAATCGATGCGATAGACGTTTTATTGCTGTAATCAATCGTCGCGTGTAGTCGGGGCAGAGCAGCGTCGCCTGTTCGCTTAATCGTACACACAACTGCTATTACACAGATAGCGTGCATAAGCATGGGGTACACTCCTCGACACATGAATAGGGCATGCATACATACACATTTATCTGCTATGATCCAAGACACGTCTACTAAACACGACTACTGTTTAAACCCTAGTTCTTTGGATTCTGAATATGATGTGTGGCTTATTTGCTTTAAATGACGTATTCCAATGTGGCGGATTGTATGTACGTAGTCCTGCAGATGTGGTAGATACATATGTATGTACGTGTCACCCAATAGACGAGTGCGTACCACTCTTGCCCGCTTGATTGTGTTTATTGATTAGATTGTTTACCTTTTCTGTGATATCATCAGCGGCGACAAAGTGTTGAGCGTTATCGTACGTCAACTGTCTAAATATATGAACAGCCTCAACGACGGCCAGAGACGGCGCACAGGCACACATGCACAGAGCCAAATGGGAAAATTGAAACTATTTCTATGCATGTGTATGTGTGGGTGGGGGATAGTTCTTATCGATTCGCTTCCGTTTGATTTGGCACAGAAATACGTACGCGTCGACGTTTCAGGCCCCTCGGAATCGGGGTTGTCAAGCTCGTGCATGTAGAATCCCCTTCTTGCTGTTTCCGATAGCCCCTTATCGAAGATCGAGTTTTAATGAGCGTGAGTCGCGGAAACTGATTTATTGGGCGCTGTTGGCGTTTTACAGCCCCAACAAATTAATATCGTATTCTCAGCGATAGTCTGATACCGTCTATCAGAGGATGTCATTAATTTGCAATTAATCTGCAACAATTGATTAGTGTTTCTTCCATTCTCTCTTCATTCACTTACACCTGGATAGAAACCGCTAAGGGAAATCAAAAACAGAAAACGACATGTTTGGGTCTCGAAGTAAAAATACCCTTGCAGATCGACATACCGACGATTCCGAATTGCAACATAAGGAAGGAGTGGATAGAAACCAGCAACAAATGCGTATTTTGTTAAGATAGATATATGTATGTACATATGGGCCTGGAAATGGATAGATTTGCAAACTGCTTTAAAAACTATCATATCCCCCGTTTAAAAGGGTAAACCATAAGAGGAAACTTCGTTTGAAGATCGAATATTAAGATTCCCTCTCATATTTGGCATGGTGATATTCACAAATCCTGTCGATTCCGACCAAAGATGCAACGGTGAAACTGGCGACCAATGAATATGGCTAACTTTGCCACTTCTGCTGAAACCTATCACATCCTCTTCCTGCCGGGCTAAAAAAATGGAACGGCAATGTCAGCCACACTACACTCGCACGTAATAAGAAAGCAACAGCAAAAATCAGTCAACGCCGCAAAGGCGCAAAAATTACAACTAAGCCGCCAAAAATAATATTCCGACATAAGCGAGCTAAAACAATACGAGGCCCCAACGAAAATGGCGCATATAAAATGGAAGAAATAAAAATAAACCCGACGAAACAGAACAAACCAACAGACCCAATTGATCTAATAAGCCAAGAACGCGGCGCTCACTTATTTGTGAATAACATCAGCAGCGAATTCTTTTATTTCGCGCTTGTTCATGCCACCGCGGCAAAAGGCACCGCAGCAACAACAATAGCACATTTCGCGGGCGGGCTTCCCTCGCGGCAGAAAATACGGAGAAAACGATTTCGCTCAATGCCCGCGACCGTGTCTGAGGCGGCAACGTCAGCGTCAGCGTCAGCGTCGGAGGCAGGGCTTGTTTGAGTTTCGTGGAACAAGAACGAAACGAAACAGTGAGCGCCATATGTCTGCCGTTTGGACCAGTGGTGGGGGGCTCTTTCGTGCAGCCAGACAGAGATGGGGAGAATTATAAGAACAGGAACGCACACACATAGACACTCTCACACAGTGACAGCGTCGACGCGCAACAGCCGACGACTTGGCGACGCCAAGGCACTTGCTGTCGTTGTTGTTGCTGTCGTTATTGTTAATCATATGAACAGGGCCGGTTCAGGGGGGCGCGGTTAACTAAGAGCAGTTTCAGCTGATTGGATGATGCAATGTAAGCGGACTCAAGTCAAAATAGTAATACAAATATAGTTGAATTCGAGTGGAACACAATTCTGTTAAAAACTTACCTTAATTAGGTCCCACAACATCCATGTAGTAATACTTCACGGAATCTGTATTGATCTGGCTGTTAAAGACCTCTTACAAATGCATGTGCCAGACTACACACACTTCGGCGCCCAAGGGTTACGTTACTCTGCCCGCCCGGTCCGACGCCGACGCTGACGCTCTTGGTCTGCCATTCCACGATCATACTTTGCGCTGTTAGGTTGGCTTCGCTGCTTCGTGTGTTCGTGCTCGTGACGATGAAACGGAATAAATAACGCAAAGCAAAACCGCTACGCTAGCCTCTCGAAGCGAACCGAACATAAACAAAAGGCAAAGAAACCACAAAAGAACGGAATACGCGAATAGTCAGTGAGTCTGTAGTGTGTGCGTGTGTATGTGTGTGGGCGAAGTGCGAGTGCAGCCGTCGCCACAACAAGTTTTGTATTAATCAAATTAGATCATAGGCAAAAGAAGACCTGAAGCACAGTGAGCATGTAAAGGTTACGGCAGAAGCGAATGCCATAATATGCTAATTGAGTACGGTGCGAATCGAAGTGGCCAAAATCCAAAAATCAAAGTGCAAAAATCGCCGTCGAGAGCAAAGTTTCTGCGCGCCAAGCAGCGTGGGGCGGATATTATTCGGTCCTGAAAGAGTGTGAGTGAGTGGAAAAGAAGTAGAGTGGTGTGGAGTGGAGTGTGGAAGGAATTCCAAGAAAAACTGTGAAAATTCAAAATAAACAAAGTCAGAAACGGTCAGGTCAAGAAGCATCAGACATCAGAAGAGGGGAATACAATAGAGAGAGCGGCGGAGCAGGAGAGCAAGCAACACCAACAACAACAAAACCATCCCATACACACACTTTGGGCAACCCCGCGGCCGGGCCGCTGTGTGTGTGTCAGATTTGTGTGGATGTGTACGTGTCAGTTGGAACCAATGTGTGCGGGTGAGTGTGAACAGCGCAGGCATAGAGATAATCTCGGCATAAGTGAGTGCATGTGTGTGCGCGAGTGAGCAAGCCTGTGAAATGCTGGGCTGTAGGCAGCGGACGCGGCAGAGGCAGCAATAAGAGGGCAGCGCATTGGACTTGAACTACTTTGAGGCGTTTTACCTGCACTAAAAAGGAACGTAACGTAAATTAAGCCGGCGCCAGGATACCTGCCGCAGCCAGCAGAAGCGGAGGCAGCGGCGGCATCAGCGTTCGTGCAGAGCGAGACAAAAGGCTTGCAACGTCATTCCCATTGCAACAACAACAAGAGTGAGAGCAAGAACAAACAATGGGCGGAGGAAGGTGGAAATCCACTTAGGAGGTACACAAAAGCCGCCACACCAGTGGGGGTTCTCCCTGTATGTGTGTGTGTGCGTCTCTAGATGGAATTCGAGTATCTGTATCTCATCCCCTGGCAGTTTATGGCCACTCTTAAGTGTGGTACGAACAATTAAACATGCAACAGTTATCATACGTTCCGCTTTGGTCCGTGTGTTTCGTGTTTCTCTCTCCGTTTTTGTGCGTGCGTGTGTGTGTGTGTGTTGAGGAATGCCCTCCATGGGAAATGACGACACATGTTTATCGGCTGCTGACGCTTAGAGGCAACCCCCGAAGAGAATGCCCTGACCTTGACAACAGAAAGACCAGACCAACAGATACAGATACAAATACTCGTTTTGCTTGCGGAAGGCGTGGGCGTAGCTTGAAATGTCTGATGGCCTTTTCAATTGACATTTTCTCGCCCCAAGCGACTGCTTTTCATTTCCAATCGAATCTCCATGAAATCCCAATCAAATCGGTTTCTTTTTCACCTACTACTCCCCTGCTGCTGCTGCTGGCGGCTCTGCTTCCTCTTCTTCACACCTGCTCGTGGGGGCAGACGAACGCAGGGGACCTACGTAAACTCTTTGAATATATCAAACTTTCAGGATACCCTCTCTTTACCGAGGTTGTTTTGATTTCCCATAGATGTTTGCGCTGTCTGCTGGAATACCATACACATACACCATACATATAGCTAATCAATACAATATAATAATCTACCTTCCATTTAAACCGTCAATCTGCAAGGGTATCAAATGGTTCGGCACAACGTTGCCTAATCTTCTCCTCTTGTATTTATTTATGAATTTGGTGTGTCTTTTTTCTGTTTTTGTCTTTAATTTTTGCTAATATGCAAAAATTCCCAAATGCCGCCAACGTATTTCCGTCCTTCAGCTGCCAGAAAAATGCCAAGACAAGCGGAAAAAAAGAAGAACAGCTAAATCTGTGAAAAATTTATTATAAAATGTCTTTGGATTTTTGTGCATTTTTGTTTTGCGCTTGAACGCACGATTTGGTGGCAGAGACTCTTCTCCGTTCTCTACGTTCGTTGTCTAATTGTTTGTTTTGACAGAAACGAAATATTTCTAAAACATTTAATTGGACCCCGAGAGATAGGTAGACACCCCCATAACGTGACATTAAAAGAAAACTTTCATTAAATTATTTGTTATTAATTTTAACGCGTCCATAAAAATGCGGAATCGAAAGAATTTTTTTATAAATGGAAATTATAATGATGATGATCATTAGGGGCGGGGACTGATCCATTGCATAAGACCAATTCGATTCGATGTGAGATTCCCATAAATGATATGCAAATAGATGAGATGATTTCCAACACAAAATGTGCTAACGCAAAAGGCCAATAACTGAAACTAAAAATAAATAAATAAACGAGTATATACAAAATAACCCATGCCAGGCCGTACGTCCGTCCATATGTGCACACTACATGCTATACATACATACATATGTACATACATAGATATACGGATGGATGTGTGGATGTATAGAGCTGTCTACTTGTCTGCTGTCTAAAATAAAACACTTGAATGTCGTCTTACGTAGTTGGAGCATTTAAAAATACATTTCTAGCGCAGCGCCAAAACAAAATAAAAAATACAAGAATCAAATTCTGGCAAAAGTCAAAGACAGAAAAAAAAATCATCGAATGATTTTTCGTGCGATTTCCTCGGATTTTCTGGTTTTGTGTGTAAACAAAAATGAAAATTGTGGGACTGGCAATTATTTAACACTTTTCGGCCACGAATTATTCGTCGTGTTGTGTATGTATGTATATGTATGTACATTTTTATTCGATTTATACGATTTATTCGATTATCTAAAGAAATCAGTGAACGAGGACTTAGTATTTTCTTTGAAATTTCTTCAATTCTGACGAATTTTATGAATCTTGCAAGATCTTTCCAACCAATAAAAGCTATAATTCCCTTTCGTGCAGATTCTTTACTATTTCCGATACGGATCGCCCTTTCTCTAGCTATATCAACATATTTATTTAATCCCCCATTTCAACACTTAATTGCTGGCATAAATTTCCGAAAACTGCAGGCCCCGAAAACCAATCTATTAATCTATTTGGAGGAAAGCTCCTCTAAGTACGATGTGTATAATTTATAACATTCGACTCGATTCGGCTCTGCTGTGCTGTGCCAAAAAGCATTATTTGTTTATACCAATCCGAACTATGCATATGTAAAGTAAACCCAAGGAACCTTGGCACTCTCAAAGAATATGTATTCACGATTTTCCCTGAAAGAAAATTTTACAAATCTCTTTAGCTGACGTCAAGCATATTTGGGAATTTCCGTGCCAAAAGAGACGTACATATGTATACTTTCCCTAGAATGTTGTTTTGCTGGCTAAATGATCCAAGATTCAGCTTACTCATCCGTTGGATGATGATGAACACCTTGGATCTCCTGCAAAGATGATAATACAATGAATGGGGAAAACAAACAGTATAAATCATTAGCTATAAAGATGGGAATGGGTACAAGTGAACTCATACCCTAACAATATTTGTCACATGACATGACGGCTGCCTGGCTGCTCCACCATATATGGCAGGTGTTTGTATAGCACTACCATCTATCTTATCTGTTTATCAGTAGCTAAAGCCGCACCTTGACCTTTTACTCTTGACAAAGAAGCTAGAGAGAGAATCGGTATGTCCCGATGATAAGCCCCAAACAGCCAAATCTATTTCAAGACCATAACGAAAGATGGCCTCTGCTCCGCGATTAGCCGAAAACTCGAACGTCAGACGAATTTGTGGAAATCATTATCGCAATTCCCCTTCCATTTATCATTCTATTTATTGGGAATTTCGTGTTTTGGGTTTATTTTTCTAAGCAATGTTTATAGAATAGAATGATATTTCATACGAATAAACAAATGCGAATATACATATATACATATGTACGGTGAGATTTCTTTGTCTGGCCTTATCATTCACACATACTGTATAGGGTGCAAACGGGTATAGAGTGGTGGAGAATCGTTTGGATCGCGGGAAGTTTAGATGGAAACCTTACAGGGTATAGAGTGAGTTCTTTGGTTCCTGGAAAATTCAACAAAAAAGAAATAAACTTAAAAAGTATTAAGATCTTAGCTTATATTGATGTGTATCTGTTGAGGCAACACATCATTAGGGTATCCCACGGTCGACACTTTCTTTCTCTCTCTCTCATTGTAAGCGATATGCACGACTCACGCAACTCACGAGAGCTCGCGCGCGTTCTTTAATCGCCTTAATTTGATTTCCTACAACACTTCACAACCGAAACGGCTGAGTGGGTATGGTACGTCATAGCCCCCCACACTGCCGCCACAACAGCAAGAAACAGAGCGAGGGAGACGAAGTAAACCGCTTATCAAGCGCTCTAGAAAGCTCCTCTTTTCTGCTTCAATATAAAAAGTTTTGTGGCTTTGCTGCCTGCCTGCTTTTGTGTTGAGTATTATTGCCGTTGCGTTCAAGAAGAAGAAGACAAAGACGTAGACGAAGACAAGAGCGAGGACGAGGAGGAAAGAAAACAAGTAGCTGCAAGCGCACACAAGAACCGTGGGGGGACCCTAACCGACACACACACGTGCATACATACGCCGACCCGACACACAGAAGACAGGGACAGAAACATTTGGTGGCTCAACAAGCTAAACTCGTTTTCAGCCACAACATCGCATCGGGGCAAATTATTAAAATTTTTAACTTGATTCATGCTCATGCCACTCGCACACTCGCAACACGCTCGCACAAGCACACTCAT